CAATAATGACAGATGCGTTGGTGTCGATGATGACTGAAAGTAAATCGCCGTTCTCGTAGGTATGAGATGTTCCATCTTCTCTGACCCCAACGATTAACCGGAGAGAATTATGGATGAGTGTTCATTCATACGGTGAATACGGTACGATAGAAAGAAATCGAACTTTTTCCCAAATAGGTTACTTCTCTTGACTGGATTTAACATGCTGCTTTGTGTGACATTGCTACTTTGTCATATTTTCTAAAACCAGACTAGCTTAGTTGGTAGAAAGTCGGACTCACACAGGTGAGAAACTGCGCATTTCAGTCCAGTCGTTTCACTTCTTTCATCCTTCTCAGGTACATTAATATGTATCACTTCTTACGAAGGAAACAACACATTATAGTAGTCTCCTACCTGTGGGTACAGTATTGAAAACTGGCAAATCGCTCATTATTGAAACAAAAGTTAACGCCGCACCATAAGTTCTATGAAGGAAGTGTCACAAATGGTATTAAATCATAAAAAGTATGAAGGACTGATATTCAGCCGGTTACGCAGTCCTTCCTTTCTTTTTATTTTCTTCTCAAATGCCGAGAATCATAACGGTAATATGCCTTCCTTCATTTTAGCTGAACTTTCATAAGATGTACAGTCGCCTTTGTCCCTGCATGATTTCTTATGCCATTCTTCATCGTATTTAAGTGCAATGACGCAACCGAGAAAAGTTATTGTTTCTCGATAATAATGTCCAGTGCTGCTTTGAGGCTGATTGAATATCACTTATAATGTCGTCTTACGATCACTTATATTGGATTACTGCTCTTCCCTGCTTGACGGCTTCAAATTTACAGGAGTGTTATTTGTGTCGAATCTCTGACATCATTGCCCTTCTCAGAAACAGGATCAACAATTAGCACGTTAAGTATTGCCTGGCAAGTCACACATTAAGGGTTCTACTGGGTGATCTTCAACTTGACCTGTCTTATTCCAGCCATACTGCAGTAATCAAATGCGTACCCGTACGTTTTACAAGAAACCGAAACTTCTCGACTGAGAATTCTTTCCTTAGATGATCTAAGAATAATGCAAAATTATTTATTGAGATTTATGTACACTATTTCTTCCTGCATGATTTTGTTTACTTGGTTATGCGAGTGAGTTATAAGTTAGTATTAGTTATTATAAGTTGATAATCATAAAGGTTCAAGATGGTACTGCATATAAACGCTGAGTCAGATTAATTTCAAGCAGCAACAAAAGCAGACATAAACAAACAACAGAAAACCATCTGTTATGTGGGGTGGTGTTCGTCGGTAAGAGGCGAAAAGTGCGACATCGCAGATACTTACGCTTTATCTTGTGGTGTAACACAGTGGCTCGTTAAAAAAACGAAACTGACACATCTGAATTCTGAAATCTCTAAGATCGAAGGTAAGCTAGATTGACTTGCTCAACGAATTCGTGTATAGGCGAGTATCACATATTTCCTGTTTAGTTCATATATGCGATGTGTTTAAACACTGAAAAGTATTTAAATTTGGTGCTAATGTACATGCAGCGGTGAGTTATTTTATACAGCATGTAGGGAGGTATTATTTAAAATATTATTAATCTGCGAATGTGAACCATTAGAATATTAAATATATGCATGCCGATGTCTGTCCGTCGCATGCCCCACCATCCCTTCTATATTTTGACATCAAAGTTCGCTTCAAACACATCCAGAGCTGGATGAACAGACCAGATAAAATCCCCGCCACTGTGTGTACGTTAATGGAAAAGATGTATCTATGAATGACTAAACTGCCACTCACCAACTTTTTAATATCTTGGGTTGGTCCCATGTTACCAAGATTTGTTCTACATTTAGAGTAGATACCTTGAGCATAAGGTGCCACAGAAAATCTCTGGCAATCAGGAAGCTAAGGTGCCAAGATGGCTTCAGGTTAGCAGAGATACGTTCATGCAAGTATGATATTATGGAGTTTCTCCTGTTTTCGACATTTGACATTTTGTTTGATTTCTGTTCATTCAAGATACATAAAGGACTTGCGAACTAATCAGCATCATTAAACATTCATCGACACCATACTGTGAATGATGAGAAACAAATGCGTGTCCTAAAAGCGTAGATTCAACGCTTCGACCAACGTCATGATCTAATCAGGCCTATGATTATCTGAAATGAGCACCAACGGCCAGTTCGGTTGAATGGCGAACTTATTTTTTCTTTGATGCTAACAACCATGGAATCGGAAGAGCTACATGCGTCGATTCAGTCTCATACAACGCTCGTGTAACTCTTTAACACGAGCTTATGTCACTAAGTAATATTTCATCTGCATAATCTGGCGTAACGATTAATATACAAATTTTATTACATTTATTTTTCATGTGCATCTTCGGCCTATCGCATGCCAAAAGAAACCCGCTAAAGGTATGATTTGAATCTTGGGTGTTTTTCGTAACCGAACCGTGTTGAACTTGCTTTGCATGATCTTCAGTTTTGTGGGATTGACTATATTATTCATGCACTGTTCGTAAAAATGAAATTGAGCATATACACGGCATTATTACATGCAACGCAAACATTTGTCGTCGGATGGTAAACCGCGGCTGACGTTCCCGTTCGTCTTCATTGTAAGACGGTTGGTCGATAAATATTTTTATTGTTGCCATCTCTAACAACTTTGAAAATTTCAAGCTATAAAACCATACGGCTTTCTCTTTGATAGTTTGAATATTATAACTTTCAACGGTTTCATTTACGATGACGACATCAGTGTCGGAGGATCAGGAAAAATTTCGTATATCGAACGGCATTACGGCTAATTTTTTAAACTCCGCTGTGATCTCACCTGAGCTTCATTGTTGCTATTGTTTTGTCATCGCCGTCCGAGGTTAAGCAGCATTGTAACCCAGTTTATATTGCCTCACCATTAGAAATGACATTTCAGGCAAAGTTCACTGCCGTGACAAACCTCACATTCTTCTTCATTGGTCTGCCTCAGTGAAGTGCTTCTACGTTTTGTATTGTTCTCCAATGCGCCTATGGTCAGAGAAATATTTTGAACAAATTTCCACTTTGTTTTTAAGCTGTTTATCAAACCAAGTCCCTGAGTTAATCTGACATTTCTGTCAGACAAGCGATCGTCAGTACTTTGTCATTCATGATCCGGTGGCACTAACCCTCTTTGAGGGTACTGCTCATACTGCGTTGTTATAAGCCATCTAGAAAGTTGTGACGTTACGAGACAGCGGACGTTTAAAATTATACATGAGTACAGCCCAGGGCTTCGACTTCTAATTCGTAAGTCTCCTAATTCTTGGCTTTCACCCTGTATTGACAAAATATCATTTATCTGACATTGGGAAGGTAAAATCCAACTATCCTCATTACCGTACCGAACATCATGTAAGCTTTTGTGTGACAACATCTGAGAGTCACATTGCCTGCTGATTCATGGAATAACGATTTGTTATCCACTACCGATCGGTGTGGGCTTTTTCCTAAAAGAAGTAAAGAGCTAACGACGAGAATTAAGGTTGCTGCTAGTTATCGAGTCCTGCGCTGTTTCTGACATGTACTAGACAATACAAATACATACCCTTATTTCATACCCATCCTTTCCCTGTGTAACGTATAGCACAGCGTTTTACTGGGCGACCACGCCGTTTAAAATTAAAAAAATGGCAGATTGTTATTTCTACCGGTGGTATCGAAAAACCAGCGATTTGCTAGTAAACCCATAATACCAGGGTCTGTTTTTGTGTACAATATATTTGTACGGTTATTTAGTGGTTTTCAGAGTTCAATCTCAGGTTTCTGCCGTGAGGGCTGAGGGATGGCAAAAGTAATGAAGCGAGTGTTGGTACACAGTACACAACACTGCATTATCTGTACTACCGTGAAAGTTTCCATGAACCCTGAAAT